CCTGGTTTCATTGTGGCCCCTGAAAGCTTGCCTGAAGAGAAATCGGCCATGCAGTGCAATTCTACACATGTCTACTCAAAGTCAGTGGGTTCAATGGGATGTTCTCCAGATAAGGTTATATAGCAAGCATGGGGAACCAAGATGTTGTTGGTCTCTAGCTCCAATCAGATACAGCAGTTGGTCCAGTGGTCATAGATGATGGAGCTCTGGTCCAACAACATCTAGAGAACCATGGTGGTGGTTATCCATGGTGGACACACAATTACCTAGGAGTGAATCCCATTGCATTGAATGGGAATTACTGTACCTCTGAGTAGATATGCACAATATATTGTACCACAGATGCTTCTGGAGCTCAGGCTTTGACGACTCAGCAAATGGATAAAAGTTTGTAGATGAGCCTCAGCTACCGAGACTGTTTCTCAGTGTAGCTTTCCTGTCCTAGCTTGACACACTGGGTAATGGTAAACTCATGGGGGCCCACTGAGAAGATCATAAGAGATTATGGTGGAATGTATCAGGCAAGGTGGTCCATAAATAGGTTGGACCCTGTGGAGTTTGGCTAGAACCCAGAAAACAATAAGGAGCTTGTCCTGACAGTCATGTTAACAATAAATATCCAAATTGGGGGTTTATAGTATTGAGTCTCATTGGTCCATTGACTAGCAGGGCTAGAAAGCAGGATTCTTCCATGGGCTGTAAAACACATGCAGCACTTTCAAAGCCTTTGTCTGCAGCTCCTTAAGCATTAAGCTCTCTGTAACAAATGATATATTCATAAAGTGAAACTATTACATGAGGCAAGGAAAGAGCCCTAATCTTTCCATGAACATCTCTGTGGCTGCTGCCTGAAAGGAAACACAAAAGGAGGGATTTATCTGAAATCTTTTAAATATTCACTGTGTGGTTCCACCTTATTAAGAGAAAACAACTGGAAACAAATGGCCCTTTTCACTTAGTGGCTGAGGATCTGGAAGACAATACGAGTGCAACAGCAAAACATTTGTGGTTTTCTCATTACATTTTAAGTTGTGCTGTTAAAAATCCTTAACGTTCAACCCATGAAATTAGCATTTAGGAGACGTGGTGACATATGCTCTTTAGCACTAGAGTTTAGGTGCTTGCAGGGCAAGATTACTTTGGAGATTGAAAGACTCTGTAAGGGTGAGTGTCCCAAGTCTGGAGGCATCATTGGGCTCAGGCATGAAGTGGGTGAGGGGAACAAGAGGGTGGCATGGGGTGGGGGCTGAGGTAATGGAACAGAGACTAGAGGAAGTAGATAGTTTTCTTACCCAATATATGGCAGCCCTGGATGGTGAAGAGGGCTAACTTCCTACTTCTCTCTCGGGAAGAGGAGCACAGCAGTGGAAATCAGGGAGGCCATCAAGCAACTACTGGAGTTGGAGAACCCTAAGTCAGAAAGGGGCACAGCTCTGTTGCCCAGAACCTGGTGGTGCTTCTGCTGCTGGAAAGAGAAACTCCCTCAGTGCAGTGAACATCTACATGCTTAACAGTCTTGCAAAGGCACAAGAGTCTCTCAAATAAGCTCTTTAAAAGCCTGACTGATGGGTGTACCAACCCGTTGGGACAATTCCACTGCTTTCAAGCAGTTCTGAGTGGGGATTTGAACCCTTGTCTCCCAGATCTTACTCCAGTGCTCTAACCACTACACCAGTCTGGCTCATTACCCTTTACATTTGCCAGACTACTTTGAAGAGATACACTCCACCCCCTCCCCACAGAACACACTCATTTTTCTTAAATCTATTTTAAGCTATAGTCCTCCTATACACACTTATGACTGAGCAAAATGGGAAGAACTTCCAAATACGTAGCCATCGGACAGGATTGTAAATCGAATTTTATATGATTTTATGGAACTATTATATGAATTGGTTGTGGTAGGACTCTGTATAAACACAATTATTCGTTATTATACGTTTGCTACAGCCATGCAGGGCCTGGTTGGTTAACTGGAATTTAAGGCATGGCACAGTCTGAGGGAATCTTTTTTGTTTTATGGCACCCACAGTCCTCTCTCCCTTTGTTCAGCTCCTGCTATCGGTCATACAGCACAGCAATTTAGCACAGACTTCCACAGAGTCAATTATGTCTAACGTTGCCCTAGAAGCAGGCCTGTATATTCAAAGACAGGGTGTCATAAAAAGCACCAGCTATAAAGCACGCGAAGCACACGGGAATGAATGTTCAGCTCATCATAAACCTTGTAAGAACCACAGCATTTAGGGTGCTAATACCAGCAATCCCTCTCACAAAAGGAGGTGTTGCTGAATGGTCTTGGTAGGGTGCCATCCCAGCAGCTGGCTTAGCACTGCTCTGAGGTCAGGCGAGAGGAAAATTCCACCAGGATTGTTAGTTTGTGTTGATCATCAACACTTCCCTTCCACAAATCGTGACAACAGGCAGCGCTGAGGGAGGAAAAATCCTGCAGCAAAGAGGAAGGTCCTAGAATGGCTCCAAAAATGTTATTTGTGTTTGGTAAATGTGTATCAGTGGTGTGCAGAAAGTGCTAGTCTGGGAAGACTGCTGGTTGAAAGGATCTGCTGCCCCTGTGGATTCTGCCGCCCAAGGCAGTCATCTCACCTTACCTCATAGGTGGGACAGATTTGGCTGCATGGGTTCTAAACAGGAAAGAAACAATTTGTGAGACTGAGGGATGAACTTAGACAGGCGCTTAGGCATGTATAATGAATGGAAAGTTATATGGCTGCTGAGACCATATAACACCGGTCCTGAGAGACCTGCATTGGCTCCCAGTATGTTTCTGAGCACAATTCCAAGTGTCGTGCTGACCTTTAAAGTCCTAAACAGCCTCGGCCCAGTATACCTGAAGGAGTGCCTCCACCCCCATCGTTTAGCCCGGACACTGAGGTCCAGCTTCAAGGGCCTTCTGCTGGTTCCCTCACTGTGAGATGTGAGGTTACAGGGAACCAGGCAGAGGGCCTTCTCGGTAGTGGTGCCTGCCCTGTGGAACACCCTCCCATCAGATGTCAAGGCAATAAGCAACTATCTTACTTTGAAAAGACATCTGAAGGCAGCCCTGTTTAGGGAAGGTTTTAATGTTTAATGCTGTGTTGTGTTTTTAATATTCAGTTCGGAGCCACCAAGAGTGGCTGGGGAATCCCATCCAGATGGGCGGGGTATAAATAATCAATTATTATTGTTATTATATTCTAAACCAAGATCTAAATATGAGAAATAAAGCCAGCGGAGAAGGAAACCTAACTGGAATATATAACCAAGTTTCACTGGAGTACATACAATGACTGCATTGCCACCTGAGTCAGAAGGACTTGAATAACTAGGCAGCAGTATTCGAAATTCCAAAAGGCCTGACTTCAGGAGTTGGGTGATATACGATAGATGAACTCTGGGCAACCAACTCATTCTATCTGCGGTGATTTAAATAATTTAGTACAATCCTGATTGATCATCTCTTGCCTATGAATATATATCATCTGCTTCATTTTTACTATAGGAGTTCTAGGGAGTCAGTCGGTGTGTAAAAAGAACCTGCAGAGGGACTCAAGTCATTTAGAATTGCAGCGCTATCCTGCCATCTATAGGCAGACAGTGATCTTTCATTTTTACAATTTGAAAACTTACAAATCACCCAAAAATATCTCTCTCTCTCTCTCTCTCCCTCCCTCCCTCCCTCCCTCCCTCCCTCCCTCTCCCTGTCCCTCTCCCTCTCCCTCTTAAAATGTAATTACAAACATGGCAAAGTTTTCTAGAATGTGCATTCAGTTTTTACATGGACCTTTTCTGAATTCCATCCTGCATTAGCACAGTGATATTTTTCAGTCTAAAAGGTGTTCCCTATGTCACTTGCAATCCTATGTATGTTTTTTTGGATGTCGGTACCATTATGTTCAACTCCCAGGTAAGTGTGCATAGGAATGCAGCCTTCATGAACCACCCTTTTCTGCATTGTGTCTGCTTCTTTATCTCTTACATTTTATAATAGCTTAACTTTTATTTTAAGAGTTGGCGTCCTGCAGTCCTCTCAACCATGCAACCCCTGTCTTCCATTTCAGCATTTAGTTATGGAGGGTGTCTTGAGGGAACATTGAAAAGTGTCTGGAAGCAGAAACTCAAGAAGCTTTCCATTTCTGAACCAAAAGGCAAAACTGGATACTGCGTCCCAAAGCAGAATAATTGGTCAGTGGTGCATCTAGGTAATTTTAAATTCTGGAATAATGGGCATATGTGAAGGGAAGGGGGACTCCTGAGAAGGTAATACACATTGTTTCACATACTTCACATGTGTTAAGCCATCTCTGCTGGCTTTGTCCCTTCCCCCCCCCCAGCCCCCCAGTGCCCATGATATTCTTGCAGAGAAGCTGGTAAAATGTGGACTGGGTGAGGTAACTGTTAGGTGGTTTTGTAGCTGGTTGACTGACTGAACCCAAAGAGTACTCATTAATGGTTCCTCATCATCCTGGAAAAAGTGACAAGCGGGGTGCCACAGGGTTCTGTCCTGGGCCCATTGTTGTTTGACATCTTTATAAATGACTTGGATGAAGGAACTGAGAGGATGCTCATCAAATTTTCAGATGATGCCAAACTGGGAGGGGAGCCAATTCTGCAGAATACAGAACTGGGGTTCAAGATGACCTTAACAGATGGAAGGAGTGGTCCAAAACTAAGAAAATGAATTTCAATAGGGACAAATGTAAGGTTCTACATTAGGCAGGAAGAACCAGCTGCACAAATATAAGATGGTGGGCACCTGGCTTGCCAGTAGTACATGTAAAAAGAATCTAGGAGTCTTAGTAAACCACAAGCTTAACATGAGTCAACAGTGTGATGCAGCAGCAAAAAAAGGCTAATGTTATTCTAGGCTGCATCAACAGAAATCTAGTATTCCAATCAAGGGAAGCAATTGCACCACTCCGTTGTGCCTTAGTCAAACTGCTGTGTCCAGTTCTGTCGACACTGACCCCAGGATTTCAGAAAAGATCCCTCCCAACCCTGACTGGAGGTGCCAGGAATTGAATCTGGGACCTTCTGCATGCAAAGCAGATGTTCTGCCCCTGACCTATTTGCTCTGTAACTGATTTCTTTGGGGGTTTTATCATTGACTCTACAAGAGACACAATTCTAGTTTTCCTTGCCTCGTTTCTAAAAGGACAAAGAATAGCAATTCAGCAGCCTCCTTAACTAACACAAAACACAACACATTTCAATCACAGAGTCCATATGGCCAAAGCTTTTACAAGTGCTTTCTGTGAAGCTTTACAAGTGGATTTTTGTGTGCAGAGGGATCAAACAGAGCGTCTCAAGTGCGCCTCAGGCCAGCAATTTGGAGATGAGCCCCAGCTTTTGTTCGGAGCACACTTCAAACCTCAGCACCACAAGGAGCAGTGACAAGTGGCACAAAGGAGACGGAGGTTACGTTTAACTGGAGCTGAAGTACAAACGACGGCTACATTGATGGCTCCTCGGTTTCAGACAGTCAGTTTTTTCCTTGAGGAAAAACACTCCGAGGAGATGAGCCAAAGAGCCAAGAAAGGGCACTATTTAGCCTCTGTATCCACAAGGCAGTGTGGGGGGATGGCCCCTTTGGTGCAGGGAGAATGTCTTCATTCACAGCCTCCCATACCATCCTCTTTAAAAAGGATAAAGCTGGCCTTTGAAGCAAAAAAGTCATCTCAATGGGAGCAAATAGGAACTGATACTTAATCGTGTAATGGGTCTTTGGATTACATGCCCATTAACTACGGGGTATTTTGCCGGCTGTTTGGCTCTCGCTTTAGCTGTTAGTCAGGCTCCAGTGCACAATATTTAACATCCAGGCAAAGGCAAACTCCACTTCTTTTTTGAGACACAGTATCAAACGTGGCTGCTTCAGCTAATGTGCAAGTCAGTCCGCTTTGTTACTCTGCAGGACCAATTAAACATCTGTCGGGCAGCTTGGTTACCAATGTTTTGTTTTGCTTTTGAACACCTGATCTTGAAAGGCAAATTGTGTGCACGTCTAAATGCGGGACATAAAAGAAAAAACTTGTAAGTGTATTGAATTTCAGATCAGAGCCACCTTGGGGCAGGGTCCTGGTGCTGTTGTAAAGCATAGGCACTCTAGCAGTGCTGAATGAAAAAAGAAAGCGCACTTTTCATGGCATTTCCTTGCAACTGGCATAATTTCTGTTATGCTTGTAAACAATCTGGACCTCATCTGGGCAAACAAGATTGGGGAATGATGTGATAGGTTTCTCAGATTTTGGTAAAGGTAAAGGACCCCTGACAGTTAAGTCCAGTCGCAGACGACTCTGGGGTTGCGGTGCTCATCTTGCTTTACTGGCCGAGGGAGCCGGCGTTTGTCCGCAGACAGTTTTTCTGGGTCATGTGGCCAGCATGACTAAGCAGCTTCTGGTGCAACAGAACACCAAAACCAGAGCAGCGCACAGAAATGCCATTTACCTTCCTGCCGGAGCAGTACCTATGTATCTACTTGCACTTTTTGGCATGCTTTCGAACTGCTAGGTTGGCAGGAGCTGGAACCGAGCAACGGGAGCTCACTCCATCGCGGGGATTCGAACCACCAACCTTCTGATCAGCAAGTCTAAACCACTGAGCCACCCACGTCCCCCAGATTTCAGTAGTAGGGCTATCTGGGTTGCACCAAGGCTATTCCTGGCAGAGTTATAGACTTGGCAAAACAAAAGAAGGACTATTGATACTCCTACGGTGTGCTTCCATTTTCACCTAAGTATCTCCCTTTCTCTAGATTCAGGTAGGTACCTGTGTTTGTCTGACGCAATCGGTGGGGGGGGGGGATTGTCCAGTAGCACCTTAGAGACCAACTAAGTTTGTTCTGGGTAAAAGCTTTCATGTGCATGCACACTTCTTCAGATACACTTCTTCAGAAGTGTGCATGCACACGAAAGCTTATACCTAGAACAAACTTAGTTGGTCTCTAAGGTGCTACTGGACAATTCCCCGCCTCCCTTTCTCTATTCAGCTTACTTGGCCAGTTTCTTTCCATCCCTAGTGTCACTGGAAGATGATGTCATCATCCCTGCTGTTGAAAAAGTAGTGGGGCTTCCCCCCTCCCTGCCCACTGTTCCATTCACTACTAATTAACTTAGGTCATGTACAGGGTCTTGGGAAATTTCTGTTCTGAACATTCATACCAAATCCACCACAGTCCCTGCGATCTATCCGTCACACATTCATCTTGGAGCAGGTTCCCCCACCTCAATGCTATGGCACTTTTGTGATATTCACCGTCCAAGATGTTGTGCAAACCATTTTGCAGTGTCTTGTGCAAACAGAAGCACATCTTTGGATTTCAGTTATCTTTTCTCATTTAAGGCTCTTGTGCTAAACAAAACAAAAACCATCTGTTCTACCTGCTGAAGAGGCCTCTGAATCCAGCTCATTGGTTGGTGTTCAGCTAGGTTTTACTCAGCGTAGAGCCACTGAAATGAATGAACATGACTAAGTTAGCCTTATTAATTTCAATGACAGACATATATCACCCATTTTGTCTATTTCTGCCAGCTAGGTGTCCTTCAAGTTAAATAGAGAATTCCAATCCTTTCCCCAATCCCACTCACCAATGACTAGCATGCTCTGCTTTCCTCTTCCCCCCATTCACATCTAGTACTTGAAGTGTTTCTGTCAGTGGCAATTGGGTCACACAGCATCAGGAGTAGTTAGCCAGTTTTGTCCCTGCAACAACATTGCCTCCAGTTGCAGAACTTTACTTTCCCTCCAAATGATGATTGACACTTGGTACCTCGGGTTACATATGCTTCAGGTTACAGACTCTGCTAACCCAGAAATAGTACCTCGGGTTAAGAACTTTGCTTCAGGATGAGATCAGAAATCGTGCTACGGCAGTGCGGCGGCAGCAGGAGGCCCCATTAGCTAAAGTGGTGCTTCAAGTTAAGAACAGTTTCAGGTTAAGAACGGACCTCCGGAATGAATTAAGTACTTAACCCGAGGTACCAGTGTATAGGGGATATGAAAAAGGTATTTCTGGAGCTAAACCTGTTCACTGCCTCTGATGGCTCTAACCTTTAACAATCACTCTAGCTTCCAATATGAATAGTCCCATTCTGGGATTACGTTTGTTGGTCATGCACAAGTAACTGTCATATCCTAAACCTTTGTATTCCTTTTTCAAACAGATAATAACATACAAAGAAACTGACTTTAATTTCTGATTGAATTTCAGACCTCACCACACCGAGCCGGGGTGAGGAAACTGTGGTCCATCCACGAGATATTGCTGGACTACAACTCCCATCATCCCTGACCATTGGTTGTGCTGGCTGGAGCTGATGGGAACTGCAGTCCAAGAACATCCAGGGGAATCACAGATTTCCCACTCCTGTCACAGAGGTGTATTCTGAAGAGATGTTCACCACTTCAGAAAATAAAAAACAATCTCAGGATGATTTCCCCAGCTCAGCAATGAACATGTGACTCAGTCCTTTGTTCCGTGTTGGAAGGATATCCAGAGGCTCAGCCTCTCAGTGTCTTGACTAAGGGGCATTTGTTGTGGCAAACTTTGATGTGTTCCTTAAGGAAGCCGCACAGCCTTTAAGGAAGCTTCTCTGTTTTTTTCGAGAGTGACCCAATTCCTGCTCGAGCATGTTGTCAATCACTCAGCCTTGGTCCCCACATTGCAAGAGCCAGAGCGTGAGCAACCAAAAAAAGACAGCTGGGAAAACACTGAAGTGGAGAGTTCAGAGACAGTAATAGAGGCATGCCCACTCACCGTGCAATAAACAGCAGCTGGGGCATATCCTGTGATGCCCACAAGGCCCAGCAGATTTGAAGGAAGAAGGTTATAATACGTCTTGGGGAAATTTAATCCCATTGGAATCCCCCACCCTTTGCTGTGACCCCCATGTGACCTTTCACCCCTGTTTTCTTGTGACTTGCTCACCCAACACCCTCCGCTCTGCCTGTGATCTTGTCTTGCGCCACCTCCATTTTAGCTTGGAGTCAAAATAACAGCACAGAACTAAAACAAGGGACAGGAACACCTTCCTATATTAGATATTGTCTTTGTGGTGCTTGTGGGGGAATCATGTCTGTTGGTGGAGTGCAATTCATTGCTAGAAACCAACACCAGGACCCAGACTAAAGATTTACTGTTCAGCACTTCAGTGCCTTATATCTGCCATCAGGTGTCACTAGTGCAAATCTACTTCCTTAACCCTTTCCAATTTTATTCACCACTTCACCATTTGCTTCTGTTCTGGGAATTTTTATTCTGATCCATCTGCCTGCAGTTCCTCTTCAGTTCATGGAATGTAAGACAACTGGCTATTCTATTTCCAGGGTTTCATCATATTGCTTTTTGTTATTACTAGATGATGTCACACATTGCTGCTTTAAATGCCTTATGATGAGCACATACAGGAGCGAAAGAACAGGAGTAAAAGAAGTAAGGAAAGCTTCTGCAAGTTGAAAGAGTAGGAAAAGAAGAAAGGGCTTTGGGCTTGTTGGCACGTTATAGTGTGTGTTGTTTGAAAGCTACGTGTGTGTGTGTGTCATTGCTGCCTCACAACAGCTTCCCTCAGTAATGCACAAGCATTACCTTTTCATGTTTCCATCAGTTAATGGAAAAGTTGATTTTAGCTTCAAATAAACTGACATATAGCCAGGTTAGTAAAAATGTCACGTGGTTCCTGTGAAAATAATAATAATGAAGGACCACATAACCGGCAAGGTGGATTTTGAGACAGTGTGGATGAGCCCGAAGAAGTTAGAAGTGTAAAATGACTTAGGCAGACTTCCAGGAACTAGAAGGGTTCAAAATCCACCTACTTAACTGTAACAGTTAGGAGGTATGTGTAACAGTTTGCTCAAATGTATCCTTGGTGTTCTGATACTGTGGCCGTTTAGAGTTAGAGCAGGGGTCAGCAACGTTTACCGGCCATGGGACAGATCACTCCCATAGAGATCGTCTGTAGGCTAGACTCGCGCAGCGTGACACCAGAAATGCATGTCCACGGCACTGGAAATCGCTTCTGCGCATGCCCAGACGCCAAAAACTGCACCTGCGCAGAAGCGATTTCCGGCATCTGGACATGTGCAGACGCGATTTCCGGCACTGCTTGGCCACTTCCTGCACCGCACTGCATCAGTTTAGTGCAGCGCGCAGGGGACTCGCCGAGCGGGCGGCTCAGTTCGGGGGCGGGGCGGGGGCCAGTAAAACATTCTTTGTGGGCCGCATTCAGTCCATGGGCCGCACGTTGCTGACCCAAGTTAGAGCCTAATTCTATTATAGGTAGCTTAGCTGCGACACAGAGTGAAAAGGAAAGGGTTGTACCCATTCAAGGACTTCATAACAATACTGACAGGCTATTCGTAATTATTATTGTGATGATATATGTGGTGAATTAATTATCATCATCATCTTTGATATGCTAGACAACCATGTCCCTTTAGCACCCAAAAGATAATAAATATGCATCTTACCAAGATCTGCTACAAGATAAGGGAAATCTAGCCTGTCAAATTGATTTATAGCACTTTGTAGTCATTTTCTATTTCCCAGGCTGAAACATGACATGAAGAGTTATCTAGAACTCCTTGTTTTCAGTGAAATCTCTTTACTTCATCTTATGGTATTGAATGAATACCAAGACAAAGTAGAAAAATAAAAGGACACTAGGGAGCGCTGTTGTTCTGCAGAAAAATGAATTTCCCATCCGTTTGTGCTGCGACCAAGAGGGCTAATTCAATAAATTGATAATGGTTTTTGATAAATATTTGCACTAACTTCATTAACTAAGTGTTTCCAACTGTTTTATTTCATTATTGCAGACGGCGTTTTTAAAAATCACTTTGCAATTTTGGGATGTGAAAAACACACTTGTCCCCGTTCATTTAACACACTATATCTACATTAACAGCCAAGCAAAAAGAACAAAAAAAAGAGTGTCCCTTGTGGCATTTTATTTTGGGATCCGTTAGCTTCAGTGTTTGAATTCTCCTTTTGTACAGCTCTGCAAATTTCATGAAACAAAGCCATTCTTCTCCAATTCATTTCGCGGAAGCTCCCGACACTATTTATTTGGATTTATATTCAAGCTATACATTTCCAACTCAGTTTGGTGACGTGTGAGTTACACATGACACAGAATTGAAGGGCATTTTAGAGGCGTGCATCCCAACTTCCTGTTCAGTGCAGCTGACTAGGAATGCAGGATGCTCCTGCAGCATCCCTGACAGATGGCTGACCAGCCTCAACTTAAATACCTGAAGCAACTTAGAGCTGACAACTGCCTGAGGTGGTCGGTCCTGCTGTCAATCAGCTTTTCCTGTCAGGAAGTTTCCCTTGTATTTAGCTGAAATCTGCTTCCCTGCAATCTCAACCTACTGGAGCAGCAGAGAACATGTCTGTTTTATCTTCTTAGATCGCAACTGTCTCAATTTGCCAGAGAGTCCCTATTTTAGGTACCAGTCCCTCATAGATCCCTATTTTGTCTACCACCACCTTTTGGGGGTGTTGCTTTGTTAAAATGTTGCTAGTGGGAATTGTTGGTGTTATTCTTCTTTCCTCAAAGTTACATTTCTGAGATGTATTTTGTGGGTGCACCTTGTCCCCAGTGCAGAGGTGAGACGGCTGCCTCAGGTGGCAAGAACCACAGAGGCAACAAATCTCAATTCATTCAGCAGATCCTGATGTCAATCTTCCTCCCTCCCTTGTTTCTGATGTAGATCTTTTCTCACTCCTTCTCCCCTGGTGGAATGGTGGGGAATTTTGAAGTCTGCCTCAAGTGCCAAAATGTCTTGGGCTGGCCCTGCCCTAATGCACAGGCCCAGGCAGATCTCAACATCTTTTCTTACTTCCTAATGCTGCATAAAGATATTAGCATGAAAGACTCTCTTTTGGATTCAGGTTTACTCTTCTGGGAGTGAGCGTGGTATTTTCATGCCAGCCCTAATGTAGGAGAACCTGCCCATATA